TTAATAAATAATTTGCAAGTAATTTTGTAAAGACTAATAAAATCTTGAGATTTACCCTATTTCTAGTAAACTTATAAGATTCAACTCACTCAATCCTAATACAAATATATATATATATATATATATATATATATATGTATAATTTAAAAAAAAAAAAAAACAAACAAACAAACAAAAAAGAGAAAGAAAGAAAGAAACTAATTTGGCAGATTTACCCTTCCGGACTCATCCCACCCTCAACCTGTCTTTTGACAGATTAAAACAGAAGAAATCAAAGCATATTGATGAGTCGAAAACTTCAACCCAATGTCAAAGTGAGTCCTTCCAATATTCCCACCCAAACACACTGGCCTTTCAGAATTGTTGAAAACCCTGCCTCTTTGGCAGGATTAAAATCTCGCTCTACTGGATGAATATGAACAGAGAATTTTACAAATTATACCTATTTTAGAGAAATTTTAAACTCCTTATTTAACAAAGGATTAAAATGCTGCGGAATTCTTTAAATTTTGGAATTAAGTATCCAAACAGAGCATTTTATTGAGTAACAATTGAAGTATCCTAAAAAATTTACATTACTATCAAATGCTGTATCCAAACACAGTTATTCCATACTTTCCTCAATTCCATCGATCCAAACACCACAAATTTCCATTCAAATTCACTTATATTTCTATTATTTCTCCTATACATCTTTCATCCTATTTTTCACTCCTATCCCACACAGCGTTACAGAATCCTAGTGAGTATACAAAACAAAATGGAACTACAGAAAGAATATGCATCTCTATAATTGTTGAGGGATAAAGCTACAAAATTTTCACTCTGGGAACTAAACTTCAACTATATAGTAAATTCCATTTATCAAAATCGGTTGTGAGCAGTTAAAGCCACTTGCTGACTTTTCTTTGCAACGCGCAAAATTACGGGCACACTTGTAGGAGGGATCTGCAACAAAAGCAGATAACATATTATGTAACTGGAAATAATGTTAAAACTACAAGAATTAAAAAGAAAGGGTATACAAAGATATTCACAATTTTAGCCTTTCTTAAGAAGATAATAATTGGATACGACAAATGAAATCATTTAAATTCAATCATAAATCACCTAACCAGAAAAATGATCCATAAAGGAAAAAAATAAGAATGGAAGAGTAGTTAGAATTCTAAAAATTCAAAGACACGAAAGAAATCAAGTAACTGGATGCCATCTAATTTAAAAGTTAAAACCTAGAACCACCAAGAGGTGACACAAAGCAGTACAGCGCTAACATGAAAACATGATAAAGTAGACACTTTTTCAACTTACAATTCCATGATCAGTCACAATGGCCGATACGTAATCTGAAGGAGTAGCATCATAACTGTCCGTCAAAACAAAATCAGTACATATATATTTATATATTTTGAGGGTTGTTCATACATATGAAATATCAAATATCTAAAGCTTAAAAAGCTTACTACAAATTCAGAAGCTGCAAGTTTTCTTGACTAGTCCAATTGTCCAGATAATTGATATCCATTCTTCCAGGAACGACGGCAACAGCACCTGGGTCACCTGCATGAAATTTTAAGTTTATCAAATTCAGTGTCCAACATTTTTCAAAATATGGTGTGTTGATTGTTTGGCAGTGCTAGCAGCCAATACAAGTGGGAGGAAATTGCCGCATTTTTTCGTAACAAATAACAATTAATAGCATTACAATTGAATTCCCATGAATATCTCTCTCAATATGTATCAAGCATATGCAGAATAGAAAATTATAATAATAACAAACCTGTACTCAAACTTACCTAGTTCATTTGAACATATTGAATCAAGCTGCACCCTTTTATGAAACTTGTAAGCTTCACAACAGATCAATACCGGAACACCATATGCATGAGCCACCATTGCAACACACGCAGTGCCCACCCTTGAATTTACAGTTCCATTAAACATAATGGAAGAAGCTCCCAGAAAAATTCGTGTGACCTCATGCATGACATAAGAAACAGCATTTACATGAGTATATGTACAACTCAGGCCCTTAGCCACCAGCCTACGAAGTAAAGCCTGGCTTTCAAACTTTGGTCGCAAGTCTACCACCACTACACGAAACTGTTTCCCAATTTCATGGGCATGTAAAAGAATCATCTCAACAACACATGATGATCCATATGTAAGAAGAACATCTCCATCGCTAACCTTTGTAGCAGCATGTCCAACAATCACCTTATCAGCAAGAATTATTCTTTCATTAATGAATTGATTAATATGTGAACTAAGAGTTTCTTTTGCTTCAGATTCAGTACGACTTGAATGCAAATTTGCAATACAACTCTTTACAAACCTAATAGCATTTCCCATGCTAATAGAAAGAGGTCTGCATTCAGCAAAAAATGAAACATAACTATTGATTTTTGCAGTTAAATCCTTAACAAGGACTTTAGCAGGCGGTGTGGAGTAGTCTTTAATGGCTTCCTGAAATGCTAAGAGCATTTCAATGCATCGGGCATTACTCCCTGATATATCTCCTGACAAATAACGCAATCCAACCTGACAATTAAGTAAGATTGATGAGCATCATCACAAGATACGTGCACACTTTGACAAGCAGTTAAAGTTGACACATTCGAGATTATCAAGGTCTCTCAAAGTATATTAAGGATTCAAAACATGTGTATCATAACGAAAAATAAAAGTTATAATAATATCAAAGAAATTGGAAATTCAACATCAAAGTCAAAGATTAATAATTAATTTAAGATGGTCCCCTAATTGCAGTTAAATTACATGTAACCAAAGATTATTGATCTAGTGAATGAAAAAAATACTAAAACTTTTATTGTTAATAACTTAATATTCACCTTAAGATTACATATTTAACTAACCTTGTCTAAAAAGTGATGCTATCTAGATTATTTTGAATCAACCTTACGAAACTCCAAAAGAGTACCTTCCACACAGCAGGATGCAGTGAATCAAGTTGGAAAAACATCGATTCAAGTTTAGCAAGCCGAGTCCCATGTTCATATTGAGGCAAATGGAGAAATAATTCAACTCTATGTCTAGCTTCAGTTTGATCAAATACTGCACGCCTTCTTGCCTTTTCCACTCTGTTTTCATCATCGAATTGCATTTGTGGAAGAGGAGCATGTTTTTTCTTTTTCTCCAAAGGACGATCTCCTGATTTCTTGTTGGTAGCTACTAACGACATAGAAAGAAGACCATCTTTCTTTTGTGAAGAATGCCTCGTACTTTTACTGGAGGCTGCTCCCCCAGATTCAGCAACTGCTGTGGTTCCATCAGCTGGATATAAAACAACTAAAAGCATAAGCACAGACTATAAAAGGGCATAAAATTACTGAATATCAGCAACTAGCAAATGAACTTTCTGATGTGTTAAGAACCATCTAATAAATCACTGAACTCCATTTTCTTTTTCGAGGCCAAGTTTTATGCAGAACTTTATCTAATTGTAACATCACATTGAATAAAACGAAGAGTGAGAATGATACTAAAAAAATATACACAAACCCAAAGAGTCACCAGACTGCTCAAAGGAAGAGTGTAACTTTTTTTAGAATTCATAATTCATAAAACTTACTGAAATTACGTCGAATTCGGTTATGCCGCTTTGCATGAAAGTTATTATGGTAAATAAGGAACCAAGATTGATTAAATAGTAATCTACACTTTTTCAATATTTAGAACAGTCTAATGTAACAGGCAGTTGTCAATATTTAGAGTGGGAAAACTCTTGAATTTAAAATTCATAGGAATGTACATAACAAATACAGGCATCTGAATTATGAAAAATTTATCATATAATGAACCAGCTTCAAAAGTTTTATCTTGGTATATTTTTAGAAAGAGAAAAGGATAAAATTAATTCTAATGGGTACAACCTTTAGAAGCAGCTTTTGCAGCTGTTTCTGCCTCCTGCAAGGCTCGTCTCTCAGTCTCGGTAGTTTCGGCTTCAAGTGGCTTTGAAATTGATGGCAGATCAGACAGTGCTTCTTTGGTAGCCTCTTCCCTCTTCTCTGCAGGATTTTTGGTTGCCATTTATATGTAATGGAATAGAAATGCAAATAATTCTACATAAAATTAGCTATCTATTGGAGGTAACACAGCATGTAGACTTTGTAAGAAGAAAAAATCTAAAACCACTTTGGTTGAAGAAAAAGAATGCCTGGTAATATAGAGCCCCTCCCAGTAGCAGAACCGAAAACGGACTGAAAGACTAAAAACTCTTGAATTTAAACTTCATAGGAATGTACATAACAATATAGGCATCTGAATTATGAAAAAATTATCATATAATGAACCAGGTTTATAAGTTTTATCTTGGTATTTTTTTAGAAAGAGAAAAGGATAAAATTAATTCTAATGGGTACAACCTTTAGAAGCAGCTTTTGCAGCTGTTTCTGCCTCCTGCAAGGCTCGTCTCTCAGTCTCTGTAGTTTCGGCTTCAAGTGGCTTTGAAATTGATGGCAGATCAGACAGTGCTTCTTTGGTAGCCTCTTCCCTCTTCTCTGCAGGATTTTTGGTTGCCATTTATATGTAATGGAATAGAAATGCAAATAATTATACGTAAAATTAGCTATCTATCGGAGGTAACACAGCTTGTAGCCTTTGTAAGAAGCAAAAATCTAAAAACCACTTTGGTTGAAGAAAAACAATGCAAGGTAATATAGAGGCCCTCCCAGTAGCAGAACCAAAAATGGACTGAAAGATTAAAAACTCTTGAATTTAAACTTCATACGAATGTACATAACAAACATAGGCATCTGAATTATGAAAAATTTATCATATAATGAACCAGCTTGATAAGTTTTATCTTGGTATTTTTTTAGAAAGAGAAAAGGATAAAATTAATTCTAATGGGTACAACCTTTAGAAGCAGCTTTTGCAGCTCTTTCTGCCTCCTGCAAGGCTCGTCTCTCAGTCTCCGTAGTTTTGGCTTCAAGTGGCTTTAAAATTGATGTCAGATGAGACAGTCCTTTGGTAGGCTCTTCCCTCTTCTCTGCAGGATTTTTGGTTGCCATTTATATGTAATGGAATAAGAAATGCAAATAATTCTACATAAAATTAGCTATCTATCGGAGGTAACACAGCTTGTTGCCTTTGTAAGAAGCAAAAATCTAAAACCACTTTGGTTGAAGAAAAAAAATGCCAGGTAAAATAGAACCCCTCCCACTAGCAGAACGAAAAGTGGACTGAAAGATTAAAAAAAATAAAGTACCTCAGTGCCACTAGTGCTTTACAGCAATACCCTTAATAAATCAATGATTGGGTTTTTTCCTTTTACTTTATCCTCTAGTAGTAGACTTACATTCACCTATTAGAGGTCATGAGTAATGGTTTGATATACATATGTAAGTCCGTGAACTTTCTGAGAATTTTTAATTTGGTCTCTAAATTTAAAAAAAAAAAAAATAGTGATTGGGACCTTGATCTTTCACAATCATTGTAATCGAGTCCCTTAAATTAGTATAATTGTCACAAATTGTTATCTTGCTGGAAGTTTTAAACCTCCATAAAGTCATAAACTAGTTCTAGAAATCTAATTACAAAAATTGGAGAATATCAAGGACCTAATTATAATAATCTTTTAGTTTAGCAACCTAATGAAAAATTTGTAATAAGTTCAGAGACCTATTGATGTATTAAACCATGAGTAATATTAAAGATCCCGAATTCTAGCAAATGCATGAACTTTACATAAAATGATTTTTTTAAAGAAGAAAAAAAAAACTAAGCTGATTGGCAATCATATCTAGATAACATTTCCTAAATTCAAGAGTCTAGTTGCTCTATTATTTAGAATACATCTAATAAAACTTGTGCTAAAAACAACAAATAAATGTAAATAACCATGTTCAAGAGGCTTTTATTTTGATACAAATTGATCCCAATAAGAGACAAGATTTATATAAATCACTACACATTTGAACCCCAAACGCTCAAACTCAAAGCATATTAAATAAATAAGACCAGCCCTAAACCTCCACCTAACAGCTTAGGTTGTGTCTGGTAATCCATTGGAAAGCCATTGTATATATGCATTACAAAGGAGATAACTGTGTATTGAGCCAAACATCCATTAAGCTCTATTATAACGGCAAACCAAACATACACTTGAGCATGGAGTTACCCTAAGACATGATATCAAAGCCTTTATGACTATGGTAAGGATTTCACTTATTGCCACCTATTCTTCAAAATTAAAATATATTTTAGCACAAGGTATAGTGGGCATATACATTGTCCATGTGGGACCAATGGGATTTTCTCTTGTTAATAAGATGACCTATCATGAGTGATCCATGTTCAGTATATTGGTCAGTTTTACGTTAGTTGCTGAAGGCTTAACACAACCTTCTTCCTTTACCCAAGCTTGGACTGGCAATGAAACTATAAAGGACTTTGGAGGAAGTTGTCAAGAGGAATCTTGTGTTAAATAACATCTTTGAAACTTCAGTCTTTAACAGAGTCGAATGACCTCTGTGATTCAAGTAATCAACCTCATCTAATGGGATAAGGCTTTGTTGTTGTTGTTGTACATTAGATGACCTAAGCATGTAATCTAGTGAATATCGAAGAAACCACCTCAATGCATGCTTTTTGAAAATGATATCCTTGCAGTGAAAACGTTGAGACAAGGGAATAAATGGTAAACTAGAGTAGTGGAGACAAGCTTTGGCATCGCATGGTTTCAGATAGAACCCTAAATGTTAACTTAGACCCAAAAAGTCGAGCAACACAACGTACATTCCATAAAACTTTAATAATCCAACTTCACTCCCAAATAATGACTAGAAGACAACGAGTATTCAGAGCAATCTAATAAACAATTCATGAAATACATAACCTAACTTAACTTCAACATTAAACCACTTCACAACCATGGTAATTAATCACAACGCGCAGAAACATCAAAACCGCAAAATAACAACTACAACCGCGATTGAACATTTCAATTTGAAACACTAAACACAACCAAAGAAATTCAAGAAACATAGTCAGCATACCAGCGCCTCCAGAGAGGTTTATCACATTCACCTCCGGCGAAGTCGCCGGAGGCGGCTCGAGCGGAGAGTCAAACCCTACGGGGAAGTCGCGGGGGCCGGAAGAGTCCTCGGAGAACTCTCGGTCGCCGATGAGGCTCGAAGAAGTCGAAGACGAAATTGGCGAGCCGACGAGCGGCAAATACCGGGGCCTGTAGCCCCCAACTGGCATTTGGTCGCCGGAGGTGCGGCGGCGAATGCCGGTGATGGGAACAGGCACAGCGGCGGAATGTTGACGCCGCGGCGGAATGGCGGCGGAGCCGGGAGCGGGAGAGTCATCGGGGTCTGATTCGGGTTGCGGAGCGGAGTGCGGGTCCATGGAAGGGAGGCGCGTGTAACGGAATGTGATGATGTTGCTTGCAGAAGAAGTTATGTGAAGAGGAGTTAGTTAGAGTTCGTTTTATATGGGACTTTCAATTTCAACGGTTTCTTCACGGAGAAGAAGAGTAGTCAAGTAAGTAGTAAAGTAGCTACGTACTCCCCGGTGGGAATCGGATGTCATAAAAAAAATTAAAAAATAATAATAATAATAATTATTATTATTATTATTACAAGGTTTAATATTATTTTTTATTATTTTATAATTATATATCCTAATTTCTAATAATATTAATAAAATATGCTTTGAATGAATTCATAATATTAAATATTTTTATAAATTAATTAATGTGTTTAATGATTGTTGTAATTATCTATATATGTAAAAAGAAAAAGAATTCACATATTATATAATGCAAATGACTTAAATGAATTAATTCCTACTGTTAGAATAGTGGATTAAGCCTAACTCAACCCTACAAAACTGGCTTGTAAGGTGAAGGTTGCTTTCCACTTATATACTATTCAATTGCCTAATCTCTAGTCGATGTGGGACTTGGATTTTTCCCAATACACCCCCTCACGTCCAGTACTATTGGGCTTGGTGCGTGGATAAATGGTGGGTGGCCCTTTTTTAATGATCTAGGATAGGCGGGACTTGAGTTTTTCCCAATACACCCCCTCATACCTATGAGGCATGCATCAATGGTGGGTGGCCCATTTTTAAAGTGGATCTAAATGGCTCTGATACCATGTTAGAATAGTGGATTAAGTCTAACTCAACCCTGCCCTTTTTTAATGATCTAGGATAGGCGGGACTTGAGTTTTTCCCAATACACCCCCTCATACCTATGAGGCATGCATCAATGGTGGGTGGCCCATTTTTAAAGTGGATCTAAATGGCTCTGATACCATGTTAGAATAGTGGATTAAGTCTAACTCAACCCTACAAAACCGGCTTATAAGGTAAGGGTTGCTTTCCACTTATATACTATTCAATTGCCTAATCTCTAGTCGATGTGGGACTTGGGTTTTTCCCAATACCTACTATTTATAATAATAAGATATGTCTAATTCATCATAATAAAGCTTCATAACTAAAAATGTTTAACTTGAAATAATTTAAAGATAAATGATTTTTAAAAAATTTCAAAAAAGTATGTGAATAAATAAAAAATATATTAAAAAAATATTGTGTTAGTTTCTAGATATAGTTGCTGATTTTAGATATGATTGTCATCTCAAAAGGTTACATGCAAGAATTCTAGTAAGTAAAAGGTTCTTACCAATGATATTGTGTGAAGTATTGTGAAGATGTTAATTTTGAAAAATGTCATAATTATTATTTAAAATCTATATTTAAATTAGTATAAAAATATTTTTTTATTAATGTTGTATTAAAATTAAAATTAAAATCATATTAAGAAAACGAAAATAAAAATATTAAAGTTGATGAATGTTATGAAAAAGCGAAGCAGTGTTTTTAAAATTAGACAGTAAAATGAATAGGTTAAGTGAAAGAATGGGTTCATGGTAGAGCTGTCAAAATGGGTTTGGCCCGGCGAGCCAACCCAGCTCACCACGGGTTCGAGCCAGGTTGGGTTAAAAAAAATTTAAAAATTTTAATACGGGTCAAATTTGAACCCGGCTCACCACCAACCCGGCTCACCCGGGTTGAACCCGTGGTGAGCCGGGCTGGCCCACCAACTTGTGATTAATTTTTTTGTTGTTGAAAAATACAATAATTATTGGGTCATTGTGTAGTCCAACATGAGACAATAATAATTTAATGTTAGATTGTGATATGTAATTTTGTGATTTTGGATTGTATTTGAAGTTTAAGATAATTTTGGATTATATTTATCTATTTGAGATTATTTAGATTTGGTTTGATTATATTTAAAATTATCATTTAATGTTTGGGATGAATAATTCATTTAAGGATGTCTTAATTAAGAATCTCAGATTTTTAAAATAAGTTTAAATTTTTGGGCTTTAGTTGTATATTAAGAAAAAAAAATGAAAAAAATTATTTTTTTTTAAGGTGAGCCAACCCGTTTAACCCACCAACCCGTGGTGGGCCGGGCCGGGTAGCCCGTTTTGACAGCTCTAGTTCATGGTTCAATCTTAACCGGATCCATAATAATTATATTTATATTTTAATATTTTAAATATTTTAAATAATAAAATAATATAAAAAATAATAAATTAAGATGTAAACATTGTGAATTAATATAAACAATTAAACAATTTTTTATAAGATTTATAATAATTGATAATATTTAAGTGTAACTTTTAAATATGTGCTTTATTATTAGACTAAAAAAATTAAAATAGAAAAATGTTGAAAAAGTCTTCAAATCAGTTTTCTACACCAGTATTTTAATGTTTTTGTACTCGTTTAACTAGTTCTTTGCAAATTCTCATCAATTTTGAGACGAGCTAATTTTTTTATTAAATGATCATTTTAGTAGAGAAATTCCAGTTTTAAAACTAAGGAAAAACTATAGCTGATATTCAATTAAAATTTAAATAACCATGCATTTAAATATGTTTTCAAAAGTGCAATTCATATGGGAGTGAAAAATTAAACCATTAATATACACTTGTCTTTTATTTAAAACAAAGTTATATATAAACAAATAAATTATTAGTATTTTAAAAAAATTTTAAAAACAATTATAAATCATTAACATTTTTTAAAGAAAAAGATCAAGTGTAAATTAATACCAATTTAAATCCTGATATAGTTTTAATATGAAAATTTATACGGAAAAGATGACAATAGTAAGCATAAAATATACTGAAAAACCAATCATCGATATAATAAAAAAAAATTACGTAGTTGAAAATTTTTTATACAATAGCAAGAAAATAAAAATCAAATCAAACTAAAGTTGTCAAATGAATCCAGTTAGGTAAGATTGTCAAGTCAATACTTATGAAGTGAGATGATTAGTATTATATGGATCGAACTGATCATTGAATCGATATAGGTAGTAGTTTGATGATTTATGATAGAATTGAAAGATCACTTGTTAAATAATAAAATCAGTTTATATTAAATTTTTAAAAAAAGATATATAAGTAACATAATTCAAAATAAAAAAACAAAAAAAAACTGTATACGTATATAAAACATAACATTTATTAGTAATTGTATTCTATTTTAATGTGAAGGGACAAGACTTTAGAATTACAAAACAAAAATATTAAAATTAAATCTTCACTACTAAATTGACACAATGGTTCTCAAGAGACAAGGTTTTGAATTCTCCCACATAACAAAGTGCTTGTTTTTAAATTTTATTATTTGTAATATATAAAATTATATGTGTATATAATATATTTGTAAAATGTAGCATGCAATTGTTAACTAGCTTAGTGATGTGTTTAGTATATTAAAGTGCGGTGACAAAGTTTGAGTCCTCCCGTGGTATCAATACACTATTTCTTATATTTTTTATTATTTTAAAACCATTTTGCAAACTGAATTAGGTTTTCGTGAAAATTGGCCACTTTTACTCGATCTAATATTGTTCGATTACATATTGGATTTGATGAGCTTATCGTTTTGGATTGACCACCAATTTTCAGTTTGACTGACTTGTCTAATCTAGTATTAATAATTATGTTTGAGTTGGCCTAAAATTTTTATATGCTACTTGTGGTGAAAATAGAAACATTAAAAGGGGTTAATTAAAAACTCAAACGGATTGAAACAACAAAATACAAGGAGTATAGATGAAGATATAAGAATATGAATACAACTTAATTTTATATTGATTTATCTTAATTATCAAAGGCTATATTTAGTTCTTGATCCAATCATTAAAGATATAAATATTTTTTTCTCAAGTTATTTTTATCTCAAACATAAGTATTTTTTGATTTGTCTCTTCAAGTAATTACTAGGTATTTTTTAACACAAAGTTTTAATTTTATAGATTTTAATAACCAAGTATTCTTTTACAGACAAGTCTCTACAAGTTCAAAGTAGTAACATTAAATTGTAGTTGGCTAAATGTTGTTTTGTCTTACTAGCTACAAGATGCGATACAACAAATATAATCTAGAGTTGATTTACACAAATTAAGAATAAATATGAATATGTTCAATAAATAATAATGAATACTCTTATTTCTAAATCATCATGCTTCCTTATATAGGTGCTTCTATAAAGATGACCATTGTAAATTCTTGAGTATCTCTCACAGACTTACTTCGTGTGTCTTTAATTTTGTTCCTTATGGAAAGAAGTGTTCATTGATGTATTAAATGCATTTCATCAGATTGTCACTTCTTATATAATCAAGGAAGCTATTTATCATCTTTTAGGTACCAAATGGGTGAATTCATGTGTATGTCAGGTTAGAGTAATTTTTAGTAGCTTTATTTGGCATTTGTCATGATTTAGAGGATCTACTTGTCTTTTTCTAGCAAAAAAACAAGTCTTTTATTTCTTTTAGTTGAAGGTGAGTACCAAATTCATTCGATATGGTAGGTAATCTTATAAACACAAGCGGTTCTATTATTAGACATCATAAATGATATAAAATTAAAATGTGTATCTTTCAAACTAAGAATTTTGTCTAGCTAGATAACTTAATTATTTTAGTGTCTAATTTTCCTTCGTTATTTATTCGCAAAAAAAAAAATTCTAGAAAAACTTTTATATTTATTGACATTAAAACTTGACCTAACAGAAAATAAAAATAAAAATAAAACTAAAAAAGTTTAGTAAGTTTTGAGTTTGAAAATTATTATCTAGGCCTTGAGCTTGTTTGATGAAGTAAATTGATTTTGAGTCACTTATTTATTTATTTATTTACTGAGTAAAATCAAACCACTAATTACTTTTCTAGAGACTCCATTCGATCATTTAAACCAAGTTCTACATTTTTTAAATATTTTTCATGTACACCAAACTTTTACAGTTAGGTCACGTTTAAATAAAATTAAATAAATGCATAAAAAAGGTTACGTTTTAAATAAATAATTAAATTAAGTATTTATTCCACAAAATTTTATATCATAAGTTTAATTATAAATTTCATTAAAATAAATTAAAAAGCTTATAAAATATTTATCGAAATACATTTATAAAACTATATCAATTACAAAATATTTTTATAAATTGAAGTGTGTTCAATTACAAGGAATAACAACACCAAAATTTTCCAAATTTGCCCAATTAGAGCTTTTAGTGCTACAAATATTAAAGAGTGTTGGGATACAAACAAGTCCCACATTAATAAAATAAAATAAGAAATAATAATTTATATAGCACAAACATACTTCAATGATTGAGAGGCCTTTTGATTGCTGACCAAAAAGTAAAACTGTGAGGGCTTAGGCCCAAAGTGGACAATATCTCATCATTGTGGAGTATGCTTGTGTAATAACCTTATAAAAACAACCCTCATACAATATCCCCTCAAACGGATACCATTAAAATAACCCCAACAGTGGTATCAGAGCCGCTTGGTTGGATGCGGTAACAACCCTTATAACCCCTCATAACTCATAACATATAATGTAATATATAAAGTCAGATTCCACTGTATGAAAGGTTAGGTCCCTTGTTTGAGGGGAGGATTGTTGGGATACAAACAAGTCTCACATTGATAAAATAAAACAAGAAATAACAACTTATATAACATAAACATACTTCAATGATGAGAGGCCTTTTGGGTGCTGACCAAAAAGCAAAATCGTGAAGGCTTAGGCCCAAAGTGGACAATATCTCATTATTGTGGAGTATGCTTGTGTAATAACCTTATAAAAACAACCCTCATAAAATATTCCCTCAAACGGATACTATTAAAATAACCCCAACAGTGGTATCAGAGCCGCTTGGTTGGATGCGGTAACAACCCTCATAACCCCTCATAACTCATAACATATAATGTAATATATAAAGTCATATTCCACTGCATGAAAGGTTAGGTCCCTTGTTTGAGGGGAGGGTTGTTAGGATAGAAACAAGTCTCACATCGATAAAATAAAACAAGAAATAACAACTTATATAACATAAACATACTTCAATGATAGAGAGGCCTTTTGGGTGATGACCAAAAAGTAAAACCGTGAGAGCTTAGGCCCAAAGCGGACAATATCTCACTATTGTGGAGTATGCTTATGTAATAATATTATAAAAATAACCCTCATAAAATGCCCCCTCGGACAAATACCATAAAAATAACCGCAACAAGTAGAAATAAACTTTTCACAAATTTCCCCACCTATTTTTTATGGAGAAAGTTACGATCTTTGGATGGTGAGAATGGAGGCATACCTAGAAGCTTTAGATCTCTGGGAAGTCATAGAAGAAGATTATGATGTTTCCACGTTGCCAGACAATCCTACCGTAGCCCAAATGAAAATTCACAAGGAAAAGAAAATCAAGAAGGCAAAGGCAAAAAGTTGTCTCTTTGCCTGTGTTTCACAAAATGTTTTCACCGGGATTATGACTCTCAAATCGGCAAAAGCAATTCCGGATTATCTAAAGGAAGAATATGCTGGAGATAAAAGGATTCAAAGCATGCAAGTATTAAATTTAATAAGAGAATTTGAAATACAAAGAATGAAGGAGACTGAGACAATCAAACAATACTCTGACAAACTGCTTGGCATTGCTAATAAGGTACGATTACTAGGAACGCAATTTCTTGATTCTATAATTGTTGAAAAATTTCTAGTAACTGTACCTGAAATATATGAAGCTTCAATAGCAGTCTTGGAGAACACAAAGGATCTGAGTAAGATCACTTTGGCAAAGATGTTACATGCATTGCAAGCATTATAAAAAAGGATACTTATGAGAGAAGAAGGATCTATGGAGGGTGTATATTTAGCTAAATGGAAGAACAATAATGGTGCTAAAAATAAGAAGAAGGAATTGTTCCAAGAGAACAATCAAAATAAAATCACTAAATTTTTTTCACCATGTCCTTATTGCAAAAGACTAATCATCCAAACAGAGGTGTTGGTGGAGACCTGATTCAAAATGTGACAAGTGCGGACAATTAGGACACCTAAAATATGTATGCAAATCTCATGAGCAAGAAGAAGAAGACAACATTATTGAAGATCAACAAGAAGAGGAAGAAGAACAACTACTTTGAATGTCATGCTTTATGACCAAAAAATCCTCAAAAACTTGGATTATTGATAGTGGTTGTACAAACCATATGACTTATGATCGAGAACTCTTCAAAGAACTCAACAAAACTAATATCTCTAAAGTCTAAATAGGGAATGGAGCACACCTTACAGTAAAAGGGAAAGGAACACTGGTTATTAAAAGTCATTCAAGTTTGAAATTAATATCTGATGTTTTATATGTTCCTGATATTAATCAAAATTTATTGAGTGTTGCTCAGTTATTGGAAAAAGGCTATAAAGTGTTATTTGAAGATAAAAATTGTGTGATTAAAGATATACACAACAAAAAGGTGTTCAATGTTCATATGAAAGACAGGAGTTTTGCTTTAAATTTGGAGAAGGAAGAGTCAATTATAAATGAAGATACAAGTGAAGAGCACAAAGATGCATATCTTTAAAAGAAGTTTGATGATCAAGAGGAGAATGAAAATGATGGAAAACAACCTTCAAAAGAGAAGTTCAAGACAAATGCTAAAGTGGTCCCACTTAAGAAAGATTGCAACAAAAATCACAAAAAGAAGAAACTGATCAAAAAGAGAAAAGAGATTTTGAAATTCAAATTAAGTGATAAAGATATTCAGTTAAGGAGGAACATTGGAAATATGCCTAAATATCTTTAGGAGAATTATATTTCAAATATTTTAGATTTAATTTGTTTTGATTATTTTAGGATTTGTTTCCTTATTTTTAGAATAGGATAATATCAATATTTAATTTTGTATAACAAATTTTCTCTATAAATAGAAACTCATGAATAAAATTATATTATACTCCTCTGATAAAAATAATTCTTATAAAATATTTCCTCAAGCAAATATTATAAAATAACCCCATCAAAGAGTAATATTATTTATACAAAAAATTTTAAAAATTTTTTACAATAATATTTTTTGTTTATCTCTCAATAACATCGGTCGTATTATCTTAAATTTATCTTTTCCCCCTCTATTTCTCACTTTATTTTAAAACAAGTTATATAATCAATTGTATTACAAATAATAGAAAGTCCGAATCCCTCATTTATGCTGTATAGGGTGTGTTTATAAAACTAATTTACAAGATTATAATCTAATAAAAATTTATAAATTATAAGTTAAGAACTAAAAATTAGAAGATTTATAAATTAACTAAGAAAATTAGAAATATTTAATAAATTTAGTAAATTAGTGTAAAATTATTTAAAAGAACATCTTTAGTTATATTCAAATAAATTAATAAGAATAAAAATAAAAATAAATTATAACTTATAAATTAGTTTATTTTACTAATATAAAATACGTAAACAAATTTATTTTAGTTACAATAACCTGCAAGCATGTGAGGATAACACGGATTGATGGAAGCCTTATTTAAACAAAGAGATATTTTCAACCTTCTTTTCTTGGCGAGAGATACTTTCATTGGAACAAACAAAAAATCAAGGTTTCAGGCATTTCTTAAGAACGTGGCACGAAATCATGCAAAGGATTATACTACCGACTACTAATGCTTGTCTATTGTACTTTGATGCACGTGCGTGCTCCAAAAAGTGTCTACAATAGAAACAAAAGTGGATATATCATTCTCTTCCAATTGCATTCAATTCCATTGTCTTGACCAAAGCCAACCACTACTTAGTGATGAGCTTCACTAATGTCGATATTTTCATTTGGCTTTGTTCTATGATGTTGATAAGAATGTAGTGATTGTTAAAGGGTTTCACTAGCTTCAGTTCAGTGGCATGTACTCAAGTCCCATTTGGGAACCAAATTACCAAACCATTCTTACTTGTGTGAAGGATTACATGATAATCAGAGTGAGCTTCATGGTTGTAGCTTCGGTTGCTGCACTCAAGATTTCGCAGACAAAATCCACTTCTTCCACAAAGAGAAACGGTTCAATAAAATCTCAAGGTACCAACATTTTTCCTATATTAATATGTAAGAGCAATTAATTTGTCTGAAAAAGCTACTTTACGTAATGATAGTGTAAGAAGTTTCAAATTTCAATACCTTATCATGATAAACTCCTTACTTCATTCATTTTTGTGTTATAATCTTAATTATGTTGATTTATTCTACACTTTTGGAACGATGCTTCTGGCGCCCAAAGGAAGTGATGGGTCACACTTGGAACAAGAGTTTGAAGAGAGGGAAAATAACATTTCTAAGGCTAATCATGTTCTACAGGTAGAGAGTCATGCACCCTCTATGTGTATTTGTGTAAAACAAAAAAAAACAAAAAAAAAGGTAAAAGAAACTATCAAACAAATGAATAAATATGTTTTTAGTCTTTGAATTTTAGAAATATAATCAAATAAAATTTGTTCATAGATTAAAAGTAAACGTTGACAAAATTTCAGGAACTAAAAAAGTATTTGACCATCATACCAACTATTGATTGTTTTGGCTGCAGAGTGAAGAGGAGCAGAATAACTCTGGAATGCCACAAAATCTGATAAAAGGGGAATTTAAGGGCTTGGAGCTGTTAGTAGGTGGTGAGAAAATCCACAATGTTACTGAAAAAGAGGTACTGCAGAATTTAATACGAAATTACAAGCAAAGAGAAGTAAACCTTGAAAGGAAGCTTCTTGAATTGAATGCACTAAGAGAAGAACATTCAGCCATTGTCCAAATGCAGAAGCAATTAGATGAAAAGACAGAAAAATTGGACTTTCTTAAGAAGACCATTGCTTCCTTACAGTCAGAGAATACAAGTATTCTAGAAAAAGTAAGAGAGGATCTCTTGTCAAAAAAAGAGCTAGATATTACAAATAAAATGATAAATGAGATGAAAAGGAAGAAGGAGGATGTTGTGAGGAAGCAAATATTGATGCTCCAACAGCAAGTAACTGAATTTCAGAAGCATAATAGTTCAGGTAGAAATGCTACTGCAAATAAGAAACTTAAAGAAGTTCAAGGCATGGAGGTAGAGGTTTTGGAACTGAAGAGGAGAAATAAAGAGCTTGAGTTGGAAAAAAGAGAGATGGGAATTAAGTTGGTCACTGCCCAAGCAAGAATCAGAACAGAGGTAACACAACCATAGATGAAAGGAATGTTAATAATAATACCCTTTAACACATTCTTTCCAACACATAACACATTCTCCCTTATAGTTGAAATTGAAGTTAATCTCACTAATTTGGGAATGGAACCCAACAAATTCCATCCAATAGAAGATATTTCTTTTGGTCAAATAATAAGTACTTTCTCCGATTCAAAAAGAATAGTTCACGTTAACTAAGAACGTCAATTAATGTTACATAGAATTAACATTTCAATGAAAAGTTAAAATAATATTTTTGTTAGTATTTATTTTTCTCCTTATACATTACGTATTAATCACATGGTTTAGTTACCATGTGTAGCTTCCTTTTGCGTCTCATGAATGGTTGGTGATAAAGTGATAGAACTTTGTAATTAATTTGTGATGCTTATACAATCAAAAACCATGCTAGTTATATACATAAAAACCAAAGCCTTGGGTGAAACTTATGTCACTCTTCTCAACCTATAAATTATTATTACCCCTTAAGAAGGGATTAATTTGAAGTACCTTCAGTTAGAATAGTAGTTCACTAGTTTAAAGTTTTGTGCCAAAGTTGAGCTTAAACATACATCTTGAGTAGTGTAGCACCCATCATGTGTTAATTACTATTGTGTTTTATATTTAGCTTCTGCAGGAGGAAAGAGGTGCCCGAATAAACGAAGAAATCACTGGTTTACGTCAAGTGCATGAAGAACTTTCAGAACAAGTTGAAAGATTGCAGAGAAACAGATTTGACATGGTTGAGGAACTTGTGTACCAACGGTGGCTTTACTCTTTGTTGAGGTTCGAAGTCCAGGATCATCAAAAACAAAGTAGAAAGGCCTCGAGAAGAGATTGCAGCCAGAATTCAAACAAAGAACTGTGTGGGGAAAAGCATGCATCAGTATCTGATCTTGAGATTGAAAGCGTATCTTCTAATGCCACATTGGATGAGAATGAGAGTGATGAAATTGAAACTAATACTACCTTTGAAAGCTCCTCCAGTAGCCAAAGTAGTGGCAGCAGCAGCATAAAAATGAAGAGTTGGAGGAAAATCAAAGATTTTTCTAACAAAATTTCATCAAAGGGTAGGAATTTTGCGAGCAGCCCTGGCATGACACGTAGGTTTTCTATGTCAATGGTTGAATCAGATAGTGTTAATAGTCCAGTGATCAACCTATCCCAAACTGAGAATAGTACATTCAAATCATTAGAGAGTCCTATAATGTCAAAAATTAAGAGGGTCTCTTTTAGTGATTCAGTTAAATTATCTACATATCAAGATATGGCAGAGGAAGTTGAGAATAATACAGTAGATGACAAAGAAACAAGGTGTGAGCAGATCATGGAGCTGGCTTCAAGTGTTAAGAGCTTCACCAACATTGATTCCATTGAAGAGAATGAAGGTGGCAAGAATAATAAAACTGGTCATTCAGATGAAGTGTATTCAAGGAATGAGCCCATGTCTAGAAAGGATAACTGGATCAAAACCATGTTGGTGCAGCTGGTAGCATTTTTATTCTTTTCACTTATCCTGCTAGCATGTTTCATGATCAAATAACAATATCCTTAATTAATTATGTGTTGAGTAGTGTAATTCAAATGAATGGTCTATATTTGCCTATATGGCTTGTACATATAGTTTGAAGGTTTAATTTGTACATATAGTATGATAGTAAAGTCTATAGGTATCAGCTGTATACTTTAGACTGTTGTGTTATATGTTTGTATCATCTGTTAAGTTGACCATTAAAGTTTAATATGCTCTATAAATATATATTTGTATCATTGCTATTTAAGAGTCGAGTAGTCAGGTGTAATACACAAGTATGAGAATAAAGTTTCTCTACTCATTTTTCACTCTCTGTTATTTGTTGTTATTTTCTATGTACGAGTGCATATGTTTCTGTGTGTGTCATCCTCAACAAATTGGTATCAAGAGTTTTTTGATTGTAAAGGATCTAAGGGTGATGTGTGTTAACCCCACTAGATTGCAAGGTGTTATATTGTGAGATAAACTCTTTCTTTTGTGAGTTTCTACTATCCATGTGTGGATACTTTAACTTTATTGCATGGTGTTGAAAGGGAAAATCATGGCTAGTTCTTATGGGTTTTTCCTTGCCAATTTATTTGTTTTTGATGTCAAACACTTTGAGAAATGGTGTGTGAAGATGTGTCTTTTTTGGTTTCCAAGAAGTATTGGAAATCGTGAAGAACAAGATTCAAGAAGTGGAAGAAGGTGCTACAAAGGCGCAATAGACAACTTACAAAGAGTCTAAGAAGAAAGACTGTAAAGTTCTCTTCTTGATGCATCAATGTGTGGATTTTGCAAATTTTGAGAAAACTTGTTAAATTAGTTCAACAAAAAAAGCTTGTGATACTCTACATAAAGTTTATGAAAGTGTTGATTAAGTGAAGAAGGTAATATGAATTGTTGTCTATGAATGATTAGGAGTCCATAGTTGATTATTTTAATCAAATTCAAGCTCTCATTAATTCAATGAAATCTTACAATGAGAAGTTTACATATCAATAGATTGTAGACAAGGTGTTGAGAAATTTGCCTCCTCGTTTCAATGCAATCGAGGAATCCAAAGATATTGAGACTATAAAGGTAGAGGAGTTGTAGAATTCTCTTGAAGCCCATGAACAAAGTCTAAATGATCGAAGGAATGATGAAAACATATAAGAACAAATCTTATTAGCTCAAACCAACTACAAGAAGAAAGGTGTAGATTGTTGGAACAAGAAAGGAAAAGGCAAGTGCAAAGGTGGCAAGAATGGTGGAACTAGTGACTAATCAAATGGTTAATATTAGTGTCAAATTGAATATGATCAAGACGAGATTTACAAGAAGAAAATCCAGTGTTATAATTATAAAAATTAGGATCACTTTTCAAAAAATGTAAAATTGGCAAAGGAGGAAAGGGAAAGTTTGATGGTGAAACATATCCTTCTCAAGACAAAGGGTTAGATTCTAATCAAGAATTATTGATGGTAACCACAAATTTTGATGGTGATAACTCTAAATCTTGGTATCTTAACATAAGTTGTTCATATCATATGATTGAGTATAGAGATTAGTTACTTTCGATGCAAGTGTTAGGAATAAGCTAATGGTAGAACACTATTGTGTTAGGGACTTTTTATGTTGGTTGTTTTGGACATTCTATGTTGGCCTTAGATATGACAGATCCCCATGACATAGAATGTCCACACGTTCTATGACGAATCAATATACAACATAAAAAATTTATTTTTTATATCGGATGGTCAATGTCATTCATAATATGAGTATAAAATGTGATGTTTCATAACATTGACATCCACATTCTATGATAAGTATGACCTTACCCTTCATAATATATTACATATTCTATGACGGGTATTGTTACACTGTAATAGAATATACACTTTCTATGATAGGTATGATCATAAATGTAACTTTGGTAATTAAAAAAAAATAAAAAAAACCTTTACTTGTGTTGATTTCGTTTTCTAATTTTAGATTCCTCTTGATTTGTTAAGGTTGCCTATATACTGATTTTAGTCTTTTAACTTTAGGTGACATTTTCCAAATCAAAGTCAACCATTTCAAGTGTCTCTAATTTCTATCAATTTTTTTATTTTTAAAAATTTAATATGTATCCAATAACATTTAAACATATAGTTTTACGTGTGCATAATAATTTCTTAAGATATAGTATTGCCCTTGTCCATGCGCAGAACCCCAACAACCCTCCCCGTCATCCTTTTTAAGTTACTTCATTCCCTTCAACTAATCACAAGTCCTCACTTTCAGCATCCATGCCCGACCATCACCCAGGCCCAGCCCAAGCCCAAGCCCAAAGAAGAAGACCCACCACCACAGTTTCATCATCATTGCTTGGAATACTTGGAGAGCGCGTTTCAAACTCTGGGCAGCTCTTCGGCGTTTCGACCCTTCTCATAACGGGATCCATTTTGCTCCTCCTAGTGGGCCTAACCTTCGTGGCAACCGTTTTGGGCCTGATCCTCTTGGCGCCGTTGATCATATTGACAAGCCCTTATGATGCACGGATATGATACGCGTATCGGATACGATACGTACGTATTCGATACGGAAATACGTCAAATTTTAAAAATATAAGATACGATACGTTTAAGATACGTATTAAAAAATTAAATTAATATATATATAATAATAATTGCAAATAAATATTATTCAAAAATTAAAATTAAGAATACATTTCTTGCTTTTTAAATTTTAAATATTACTAAAAAAAATTATAAATAATTTTTTATTGTTAAGAAATAAGAATAGTATCAATTTCATCACCTCCTTGGCCATCATCTGTAAATAAGACACCTTTCATTTCTGGTTCATCAAGAGATAATGATGTCACTTCAAGATTTTCAACACCACCAAAGCTATCCCATGCATCTCCACCAATGTCCCACATTCTAGTACTCCCTTGCATATATTCTTCACTTTTCCTAGACAAGATTCGCAAATTAGTATGTACATAAACCAAGTCTTCTGCTCTTTTAGGGTTCAACTTATTTCTTTTCAGGGAGTGAATGAAGGAATAAGTACTCCAATTCCTTTCGCAACAAGATGAAGAACTAGGTTGTACAAGAAGCTTTAAAGAAAGCTTTTGAAGGAGAGGAGCAGAAGAACCATGCATTACCCACCAGGATTTAGCATCTAATGTCCATCTATCTTCAATTGAGTCAAAAGAAGCAAAATTATGAGCTTTTGATGAAAAATCAGCATATTCAAGAGAAACCTTTCTTCTTTCTTCAGTTGTTGTGAAAAGCATTTTTAAACATTTATTTCTTTCCATAGAATTTTTTTCATCCTCATGTGGGGAAATTATATTTGGAGCCTCTTGAAGCCATTCATCATTGTAGTACCTGTGAATAAATAAAAAGTTAATAAATAAAAAAATTTAGTAACTATCAAATTATTTATAAATAAATACTAAAAACAAATAAATATTTAATAGGCTAATTTTACCTAGGATTCAAAGAGTGAGCCATGCAGTGGAGAGGGGTGCAACTCTTAGTCCACCTATCAATTAATATAGAATAAACAACTTCATAAAATGTTGATGTATCATTTAACTCTTTTCCTTCATATCTATATATAGACGTCTTTACTTTTTCTATCATATTATCCCACATCTCATAGACCAAATGAAGTGTGGGACTATCTGTGTTACAAGCCCTAAGCATACTATAAATAGGCTCGGTAAAATTAAGAATATATGTAATTTTGTCCCACCACATATCATTCAAAATAATTTTTTTTTTGCAGCTTGGGCCTTACCCACATCATCTTCTCTATAAGAGTTTCATTCTTCACTAATAACCATCGATTGCAAAGCACCTTTCAAAAGTTTAAATCTCTTTAACATCACTAGAATAGATGCAAAGCGTGTTTCAGCTATAGCAAGCAATTTTAGAGGTGAAAAGTGATTAAAAATTGCCAATCTCATTGAGTGATTCATGATAAAGTTCCTAACAAAAGAAACATCATCAACAACTTGAGTAATCCAATTACATTCAGCATAAGCTACCTCATTCCTTTCAGTGTTTTTGGCAGCACATATATTCTTCAATGCAAGGTTCAATGTGTGAACAACACAAGGAGTCCAAAAAATTTTAGGAAAAGAAATTTCAACAATCATTCCAGCACCTTTGCATACAGGAGCATTATCTGTTATAATTTGAACAACATTTTGTTCTCCTACTTCTTTTATAACTTCTATCATCTTATCAGCCATATAATGTTTGTTTTTAATCTCATCAGAAGCATTAATAGCTTTTAAAAATATTGGACCCCCTTCACTTGTAGCCATAAAATTAATTAAAGGTCTTCTTTGGACATCTGTCCATCCATCAGATACTATGCTAACACCTTTTGCATTCCAAGTCGATTTAATAGGTTTAAGTAACCTCTCAACTTGTGCCTTCTCTTGTTGTAAGAGAGTTGTCCTCAAGGCATTGTATCCAGGAGGGAGAAAACCATTAAGCATGTGATTTGCAGCAAATGAATAAGAATTCACATAATAGGGATTTCTGGCAAGGTTGAAGGGCAATCCAGAAGAATAAAACATTCTAGCAATGAGAGCTTTGAGATTATCTCTATTTTCTAAATTAAATGCTTTCTCCAAAGGACCAACTTTTCTCTTTTTCAATAAAGAATTCTGATGCATTTTCTCTGTAGGTAATGGGACATGCTTAGGTTTCACATTATTTTCAGCCAATTCAACAATTGATTTCAATTCAACCAAATATTGATCATTTACACTTGCACACACAGAAATTCCAGTTCCATAAATCCTCAACAAATGAGCTTTAACTCTCGAATAAGAACTTTTATAAACCTTTTGACAAAAATTACAAGACCAACTCTTATTTCCTCCCCCTTCTGAACTTTTATCTAATATGCTAACATAACACCAAAGAGGAGCATGATCATCTTGTACAACATTGGCAGAAACGAACTTACTTGGAATTTTAGAATTATTATTAGAATCAGAACTAGAAACATTTGTTGTTGACATCATAAATAAATATTTTTTATGCTTCTGCAAAAAAAAAGTATATTTATGTTAAATTGTTAATTGTTAAATAAATTACACAACTTAAAAATTTTAATCACTCTGAAATATGAATCATAAAAATATAAATTATAAAATATTAAGTAATTTCACAAAAGACACTATAACTTGAAAATATTAAAATAATAAATTAAATATTAAGAAAGATAATTAAGAAAGATAATTAAAATTAAAATTAAGAAAGAT